TCTGAATTGAACAGGTAACCAATGAAGTGATGCTAACACAGGTGTGATATGTTCTCTCTTTTTTGTCCCTGTTAAAAAACAAGCCGCGGCGTTCTGTACTAGTTGCAAGCGCGAGAACTGATTTATTCCAGCATATAGAGCGTTACAATAGTCCAACCTGGTTGAGATGAATGCATGAATAACGGTCTCCAAATCACTAAAGCGCAGAATATTTTAAGCTTGCGAAGTCCCCTAAGCTGCAGAAAACTGGCTCTAACTACAGAATTGATTTGTTTGTCAAATTTTAACTCCGGGTCAAGGGTAACTCCCAGATTTTTAACTTTATCGCGGATGTTTTCTTGAAGGGGGCCCAGGGTAGAACTTAGATTATTTAAAAGGTGTGAAGGGCCAAACAATATAACTTCAGTCTTTTTCTGATTTAGTTGAAGGAAATTATTGTTTAAATTACTATCGCTTCAACGAGCGAAGTAAGTTGAAGTTCACCCCGCACTGAGACGAACGGCGACGCCGCAACAGTCGCTCATTGGACAATATTACTGGAATAATGCCCGGTTAAGCAGTCGTAGTTGATCGTGTAAGCCACGCAATGCAAGCACCACGGTGGACATAACGTGAGCGACGAAGAATCCCTAGATCAGCACACCATAGGTAAATGTCTGATGACAAGTGTGTTACTGACCGATTGTTCAATCGCATGAGTTCAGAAGATGTAAATGTAATTGCCATACTCGATAGAGATGAGAAAACATAAGAGGAGTATCGTTCACTATTCCAAGAGACGATAATTCTAACAAAGAGAAGAACCCAGCAGACGAAGTACAAATAAATTTTTGAAGTCCCATAGGGCTCGTCACACACCGAGAGCCAGGTCCGGACGTAACTCGGTTGAAGTGGACAAGTAACAATGAGGAGTCCAGGCGAAAGTAATAATCCAATAATCCAAACATACAGGCCACAGAAAGCAAGATCCGATGGAGATTCAGCGGTGATGAGTCCAATGACGCCATCAGATCGTCAGATCGCTGACACCCAGATGACGAGGTGAACAGC